GCATGAAAAAATGTGTGTGTGTGTGTGTGTGTGTGTGTGTGTGTGTGTGCGTGCGTGCGTGCGTGCGTGCGTGCGTGTGTACCTCCAGGAACTCATTGAGTGACTTCTGGCAGCGCTGCAGCTGATCCAGTATGGTGACCAGAGAGTTTCTGATGCCAGCCCTTGAGCTCAAAGAAACAACTCTGTTGTCCCTCTGGATGTCAGACATGATAGACCTGTAACACATATGGAGGCAGTTTTGTTATTGGATGTGCATGAAACACCTGTCATACAATTTCCATTGGTCGATTTGTTCCAGGAAAAATTTTAATTATCCAATTGTTATACTGAATATCAGCTATAATAATCAGAAAATAAAATTAAAAAAATTAAAAACATGTACTCTCGAGCAGTATAGGATATGGAATGAAACAAAGCTTACATTTGAGGATATATATTGAGGTGTATATTCATATACTGTATATATATATTCATAGGACTGTCCCGAATACCTTTTTTTGGGCTCCGGATATAGTAATCAGCAGCGAATATTCGAATATTCGGCCCGCGCGGGGGGGGGGAGGGATATATATATCGCATTGTGTGTATTACTTTCGTTGCACTTTTATATGTTTTAAGGGTAATTTGGCTTGGCTTCCTATTTTGTATGGACATGCTTTTATTTTGAAGGAGAGTTAGCGGAGTCGACAGGAAGTTGTTGTTGCTATGGAAACAACGTGACTGAGATTAACGGAGAAAAGTAGTATCTACATATAAAGACGGCGAAAGTAAACGATAACGTTTATGGTTAAGTGTTAGCACCCCCCAAAGAGGCACAAGCTCTTACTTTGATATTGGAAATTTCAATAATTTCAATTTGAAAAAAAAACGGGGGAAAAACAAAACGAATATCCGAATAACGAAATTGAAACCCGAATAGTAGTCCAACGAACGAATATTCGGATATTCGGGTACAGCCCTAATACATAGGGTAGATAATGCTTCATTTCAGAACTTCTGGGTGTGGGCAGTGTGCTTGGTATTCATTGGTAAAAATTTGAGGTCTTCATTTGACCTGTCTTTTTAGAAAGACACACAGTACCTGAAGTCTTCATCAACACGTTTGAAGCGCGCCTCCTCCCGGGGCAATGCCCCTCGCCCAAAGATGGGCTCCAGATAAACCCAGCGCCTCTGGATGGCATTCAGACTCAGCAGGTACTCGTCTAAGTCTGAGAGCCGGACCTCCCACAGACTGACCTGGACACACACACAGTTAATACAGGAGCAGTGGTTATTGCTGCAGCTTCATTAAGGATTTGTAAACCTTTAAACACGGGTTAACAACAACACTTTTTGCAAACGTAATACAAAGTGCTTGAAGGTTATAAAGTATTCATAGATTTTATTGAGCTGACCTTGTCTTGGAAGCTGCGGTAGTAGGGGGAGTCTTTCAGAGACTGCAGCAGGCAGCGGTTATCTCCCACCTGGATGGGCACAGAGCGGTGATAAAGCCAGGGTTTGCTAATCCCTTACATTTATTTTGAAGGGGTCAGTAGATATTCACGCCTTTCTCTATTTTATCTACCAAGCGGTCACTTTAATTGATATGCCTGGAACAATGATAATCAAAAAATAAAGTACTTATGATAAGGATGATTCCGACAGTTATAGCCACCTTTCAAATGACCAAATGTTTTAATATGCATTGCTCTGCATGCACTTTACTTTTTTATAAACAATTCATCTTAATAAAAAGCATTATGTGAAGTCAGAGTCCAGCATTGTGGCTCACACCTCAGAGGCAGAAAGGTTAAAGATATAGACAACTTTAAAACATTTATATATAAATACGTAAAATGCCTTACTACATAAGTATAAATAGCATAACGTGCAGATTATTTTAAACATTTTATTTTTACCATCAAACCATCTTATGTCCGACATGATACCCACACAGCCACGCAAGTTTCTTAAGGAAAGGCACACAAGCGCTTCAGAAGTTTTTTGGAAGTTAATTAAACAGTATCCTGGTGCTGAGGAATCCCTTGGTTGGCCATGTCAGGCAGGTGGAGAGCAGTTAGAGGAAATGAAGATCTAATAAAAACTAACACTCAAGTCATTTTGGTCGATGCAATCAGCTTTGATTATCAAGTTGATTATGGTCAAACTTTGGCTAATAAAACTATAACCAACTGCAATAAAATGTAATTAAGTCAACTGATTAAACATTTGTGTCTACAGCTAGACTCTGTGTGACCATAGCACAAAGTGTGCATTTTGTGTGTATAAAGTACGCATTTGTTTGTTTTGGTGTGCCCCTGTGTGTACCTGGTTGACTATATCCTTCCAGTCCTTGATGAGGGTGAGTGTGCGCTTGCTGCTGTCTGTGTACTCCGTCAGGTTGAAGGTAGCTGCAGCTCCCCACAGATCCAGCTCCCTCAGTGCTTCTCTGATCGTTACTTCTGCCTGAGCGCGACTGTTCAGGTCCTTAACGCAAAAAACACATATTCAAACACACACACACACACACACACACACACTACTTTCAATACATTTAGTAAAAACAGTACATGGCATCATCGAGGATCCACCGGTATTACTCCTCTGGGCTGGTGAGTAAGAACTAGTACCTCAGATCAACCGTGTACCCTGTAAAGTGTTTTGGGCCCTGATAATCTTGGATTTGAGAAAACTTGGCATATGATGATATAAGAATTCATTGTACAAGTGTATCTTTACTAAAATTAACCTTATTATATATATTGTTACTGTATCAGTTCATATTATTTTTTTATGTGGCACCAAAACACTATAAGGAAGTCTGATTGATGGAAAGTATCTACCGTAATTTTCGGACTATAAGCCGCGCCTTTTTTCCCATTTTTCGACGCTGCGGCTTATATAACGGTGCGGCTAATCTATGGATTTTTACAGCTAACGGCCACCACCTTTAACTCTATGGGCTCTATGGCCGGTCCGCGGACCCCCAACTTTAAGCGGCGGGTTCCAGCAGGAAAAGCTGGAGGCCGGAAAAGAGTGAGACAGGTAGCGCGCAAAAGTAAAAGTGGAACCGAGAGTGGTACGAGAGACAGAACGAGAGCAAGACAGACAGACATTACGAGAACGAGACAGTTTGTCCCCGTACCACTGGTTGAAAACCACTGCTGTAGATCACTGCCGGTACGTGCGCTGGGAGCGCACCGTTTAAGTTTGAAAGTTGAAAAGTTTGTGTGTCTGAAACGCTATGTGGTACAGTACAGTTTACACAGCACAGTACATGTTCTGTAGCTACTATTGCACTAAATGGTAACACTTGAATACGTTATGCAAATATGCAACTTGTTTGTTGAAATGTTAATAAATGGGAGCTTCCTCAAACAGCCATCTC